AACTGTGCAGTTTTCCTGGCTATGGCGGGACAGGGGGACAGGCGGCGTAAGTGTCAGGTGCAGTCATCGCTGTGGTTTTGAGCCTTGTGGCATCGAGTCCTGCATAGGAGCCTTGTCCCCTCAGCTGTGATCCCTTTATCCTCCCGACTCACACCTGGAGTCCCCGGGGCGCAAGCAGGGCCACTGCGCTCGGAGCGAAGCACTCGCGGGAGGCCCTGTCCCCGCACAGCAGGTGGTCACAGCATCGGTCACTTCCTGCCCAGCCCGACACACAGGAGGGAAGGAGCTGTCCTGCGTCACCCAGCGAGCCGCAGGCAGGCGATCATGCCTGTCCTCGATGTCCCTTCCTTCCTGGTCAGGTGGGGGCCGGGGCTGCGCTGGAGGACGGAACCGCCAGGCCACCCCGCAGCCCCCGGCCTGGCAGCAGCTCCTCCCGGGAGGGCGGAGAGGGGTGCACTTAGTCACCCTGGGCCTGCCCAGCGCGGCGGGACTTTCCGGCACTGACACAGTCCCTCCGGCTCGGCCTGGAAGAGTCTGTGGGAGGAAACGCTGATTGTGAATTAAAATGGAAAAACAGCGTTCCTGAGCTCGCTTAGCGCCTGGCCGGGACCCGGAGCCACTGCCTCAGGGAGTTCCTGAGCACACGCGGGGCCCCAGGACCGGGCTGCTGTCCCACTGCGGGGCAGAAGCCCAGTGGGCGGAAGAAGGATTCAAAACCATGCTTGGTGTGTTCACCCTGGCCCCAGCTGTGGGCGACATTCACCCCCAGGGCGCTGGCCCACGCTTGGGACCTGCGCGGCGTGGGCGGGGCTGCAGGCCATTTGGCAGGGGCTGCATTTGCTCTACCTTTTGCCCAGACCCTGGGGCCTCAGCTCCTCCCCGTGTCGTTAGGGGCAGGGGGGCTCAAGGTTGCCCTGGCGACGGTTCCTGGCTCCCCGGGGACGATGCCGGTGCAGCCCTGCCCTGTGCAAGACGAGACCGAGTGGGACACGTGGGGTGGAGCTGTTTCCGTCTGCACTGAGACGCCTGCACACTGCGGCGCTGTGGGTCTGTGCAGGGTCCTTCCCAGCTCCGCTCCTCCCGCCCCGCAGCTGGGAAGCGGGAAATGCGCAGATGGGAGGAACAGCGGTCGCCAGGCCCTTAGGCAAATGGGGACCCTTTCTTTAAAAAGGAGGAAAAGCCCTCTGCAAAAAAATTAAATTCGCCCAGCCAGGCGTGTTGGCACACACCTGTCATTCCAGTACTCTGGAGGCTGAGGCAGGAGGGTCGCTGTGAATTTGAGGCCAGTCTGGACTACACAGCAAGACTCTGCCTCAAAAAAAAAAAAAAAAACGGGAAATGCTGGGGAGGGGCCACGGCTCAGAGAGCCTGGGCTGGTGGTGCCAGCATCACTTTGCCCTGCAGAGCTGTGACGGGAGAGTGGAGGAGGAGCTGGGGGTCACTTGAGCTCGACCTGACCACCAGACCTCCAGATCGGGAGCAGGCTTCCCAGTGTGCGGGCGGGCGCAGCTGCCATGTGCTGGGGAACAGTGAGACCCCCCCTGGGGTGGCCCCGGGAGGCCAAGGGTGAGGCGGGCGCTGAGGCACAGGGCAAGCCTGGCGCGAAGCAGGATCCTGGAAGCAAAGTGCGTGTGGGACCCCGGGCAGGCGCTGTGGGAGCAGAGCCCTTTGACCTTCCCGCCCTGCCCCCTCCCACTCCCCCTTTGCCTGTTGCTGAGTCCACGCCCAGGGGACCCCTGTCCTCTCCTTCTGGGCCGCACGCTCAGCCCTGACCCGTCCACCTCGAGGGCCGGTCACAAGGCGCAGGGAAGCCCTGGCGCAGAGCAGGTGCTCACCTAACCCCTCTGCCCTTCCTTCCTCCGGCAGCGAAGACGTTGCTTAACTGAGAGGTCGTGAGGCTTGCGCCAGGCCCGGGCAGGGTTGGGAACACTGGGTTCGCGGTTGGATCCATCACCAGTTCCTGGCGATGGCCGGGGATGACACCAGCCGTGCGGAACCGAGCCAGGAATGAAGCCGGATTCCAGAGAATCTAAGGGTCTCTCCTGGTCCCTCCCGAGAGGGAAAGAACCGGGCCAGGCGCCTGGGGGAGAGGCAGGAAGGAAGGAGTGTGGGTTGGCAGTAGGTAGGCGGCCTGTGTGCGGCAGCCAGGAGCTCCTCCAAACAGCGTGAAGCCGTTCCTGTTGGAAACCCCAGCAGAGAGCTCAGGGGCCGGCCAGGTGGAGGGTCGCCATCCCTGTGCGGCTGTACCCTCCCAGCCTTGACTGAAGGGGGTTGTCCGCAGCAGCCCCCCAAGCCTCCCATGGAAGAGCCATGCCCCTTGCCTCTGTGTCAGAGCAGAGGAACCTCCGCCATCTGTGTCAGCGTAACATTTTACTGTACGTTGTCATTATTGTTCTAAATTTCATATCCTCAAGCCAAGCATGAGCCCAGCACTCCGGAGGTTGAGGCAGGAGGATCACTGTGAGTTCAAGGCCAACCTGGGCTACCTACTGAGACCCTACCTCAAACAACAGCAGACAAACAGGGGTGGATGAGGGTAGGTGCTGCGTGGTCAGGGTCTGGGGAGCAGGGGATGAGCGCAGCCTCGGGCCTGCAGGGAGAGGCGCGGGGAGCTCCCATTCTGGTGACCGTGACAGGAGCACAGGCCGTGCGGGCAGCCGTGGGCAGGGGCCTCTCTACGGCTGCTGACTGGTTCTGAAGGGTGGGGAGGTGACACGGGCGGGGGCTGGGAGGCAGGATTTGGAGGGTAGCAAGGCCCAGTGGCCACGGGGACCCGGGCAGGTGTGCTGAGCAGGAAGCACCTGTGGTCAGCAGGGAGGCAGTGGGCATGACCGGGAAAGACTGCCGTGGAAGCAGCCACTTTGTCGGGAGACCTGGGTCCTAAATGAGCTTTGCCACTGCCGTGTCCTCACCCAGTGACGAAAGGGCCCAGGGCCCAGCAGCTCACAGCAAGCCTTTATTTCATTTTAGTTTTTTGAGACTGGCCTTGCTGTGTAGCCCAGGTTGACCGCCAACATGTGGCGATCCTCCCGCCTCAGCCTCCTAGCGCTGGGATCATAGGCGTGCCCCACCTCAACCCGCTCATGTTCGAAGGCTGTGGGGTCAGCTTTGGCTTTGCCCCCTTTCTGCCCCTTCTGAAGCCCAGGCTAATGGGGGCACTGTACCCAGCCTAGCGTGGAGGGAGGGAAGGGTGGCACAGCCCATGGTGACTGGCCCGGGTCTCCCGCACAAGCATGCGTCTGTCACTTCTGACTTCCGCTCACGCTCTGCGAGGCAGGCAGGACAAGGCTGCTGTGAGGGGCATCCTGTGGTGATGGCGGGCGGGGATCTGCCTTGGGAGGGGTGGACTGCGGGGACAGAGGGGTCTACCAAGGGGCCCGGGGAGGGTGGCACCCCGGTCTTTGGCAGGAGGGAGGCCTGGAGAGCTGGAGCCCTGTTTTCTGGATTCTGTGCTTGGCCCCTACCCAGCTGAAACCTGTTGTCCCTCAGCTGCCAGCTCTTGCTGGGCCTGCTTTACTCCACCGGCCCAGCGATGCCACCTCTGGTCAGTGCCCAGGCCCGCCGGATGCCTCGACGCCGGACCCTGGCCGGGCCTCCTACGCGCTCCAGCTCCTCGTGCCCTGGCCAGTCCCGATTTTCCACTGTTGGTGTCTTGAAGCGATGAAGAGCTCTCTAATGAGGAAGACGTAGGCTCTGGGCGGAGTCTTGAAGGCCTTGCTACCCTCACTCGGCAGTTTTTCACTACTCACTGTCACTTTTTTCTCTCACTTTATTACTGACGTTGCACACCTCCAAGCTTCACGTTTCCGAGCTCAGGCTGGGCCGGACTGGGCCACTGTCGCTGCGGGAACGCAGAGGCCTGGATCCTTCCCGGCCTGAGAGACTCCGGCGCTGACCGAAGAGCTCATCCCTCGGCTCCTGGGCTTGGACCACTGGGTGTCCCACTGCACAGGGAAATTAGAAGACAAACTTTTGCAGTGGGGAAGGAAGACAGTGCATTTGCAGGGGAGGAAGGGTGTTTTTTAAATGAAATTTAGTCCTTCACAGAACACGTTCGAATTACCCTTGCATCTACTTGGTTTCTAGTTAGCACACAGCACGTCACACTTTTCCGAGTCTCTTTTGCTTCCTAACAGATGGTTCTGAATTCTGAAAGGAAAAAAAAAATCCTTCCATTTGGCTATTTTCCTCCCACCCTTAGGTGCTGCGGCTCAAACCTGGATTTCATGCATGCCTGTCAAGAGCTCCACCACTGAGCTCCACGGTGAGCTAATGCCCAATAGCGTCTTTCCTTTGCCATTTCGCCAACAAAGCTTGAACCAGCTTCAGGCACCTGCCTCTGATCCGCACTTGTCTCCCACTGCATGCGGGGCCTGTGTTCTGGGAAGCGCTTTATTAGTCGACTCTGAAGCCCTACAAACAACACATTGTACGAACATAAACCTGGAGAGTAGGCTCAGTTACCCAGAGCAGCCTGTGGAGGCAATGAGGAGATCGGGGCCAACAAGACCTGCGAGACTGCTGCCATTAACACGGCACGCTGCTCTACAGCGAGCTTCTGATGTGTGGAAATGTATTCCAACAACAAAAATACAGTATTGTGAATACATCCTCCGGTAACAGCCAGCAATTGTCAAGTATTATGCACTGTACGCAGCTGCAGGCCCTACGCTTTTATGGCTGGCAGTGTAGGTGTGTTTACACCAGAAGCACCACAAACCCACAGCTGTGTCATGCACTGCTCCTGTGTCCCTGGGCAGCAGGAACTCTTCCACTCCACTATAGTCACACTGCTCCTCCGGTGCGTGCGTGTGTGTGTGTGTGTGTGTGGGGTCAGTGGTGTGTCACATGACCGCTGTGTATCACATGACTGTATAACACAGTACTACAGAGTTTTCATAATGGGATCCTTCTTACTTTCAACGCTGTGATCTGAGAAGTTGCACACTTAATCTTCTAACGATTAAAGATAACGTGATTTTTTAAAAAAATGTGTTTTATTCAATTCCAACGATCAGATTTGCACCCAGCTTTGCAAGAGCTCAAGGGGATTCTGGGTGTGGAGGCGTCTTCCCTATTTCTCATTGCTCCTGGATAGCAGGCGGCGGTCAGGTGACCACAGGCGATAATCAGAAGATTGCCCACGAGAGTTCTGGCTCTTAGCTCTGCAGAGAGAAGGGTCCAGGAAGTTTGCTTTCTTACTGACTTTATTTCTCCATTCTTTTCTTACAAAGTGAATTGACCTGGTACAGTGAGACGGATGTCACCTAAGAAAATGTGTGACGTGTGCTCTAGGAAGGAACCCCCCGTGCTGTCTCCGGCCAGCTCACTTGGCAGTCACCTTGGGGAGGGAGGGAGCGTCCTTTCTGCCGTGAAGGGTTAAACCTGCTTGCAAAGATCCCAACTCTTGCAGACCTCCGGCCACGACAGCAGCTGGGGTTAGAGACCTTGACCGGAGGGCAGGCTGGGCTGCATGTCTCCTGCCAGGGCTGTGGTTTGGCCACCTGTCCTTGGGCAACTTCCCCAGGGGCCGCAGCAGTGTGTGTGCCCACCCCTCAGGTACTGGACAGCCGAGACCCCTGCGGAGCCCTGCGGGGCTGAGGGGGTCCTCCAGGAGCGGCTGTGTCTTTGTCCTGGGTGTGGTCGGAGTCCTGGGGAGCACAGGGCATGCAGCTGGAGAACCGTGCACCCCAGGGTCCGTCCTGGGCTCCTGTTACCTCCTGCACCCGGGACACAGGAGCCACTGCCCAGCCCTGAGCTCCATGCATGGACGTCGAGAGGGCTTCCGCCTGGAAATCCCAGGTGGGAAAGGCGGAGCTGCCGTGCCTCGGGTCTTCGCTGACCAGTCCTGGCTGGGTCCTGCAGTGAGCTCGGCCATTGGGAGCCAGCGCTTGTGGGGACGCAGGCCTGCCCAGGCTGCCTCTGTCCTCTCCCAGTCACTGCACGGACATGGAAACTCCCAGCCCCAGGGCCGCCGTCCTCCTTTCTGCCCCCCGAAGAGCCGAGAGGAGCAGGGGCCGGGTGTGTCTCCAGTGCGCCCTTCCGCCCCAGCCTTTGCTTTATGAGTCGCCGCGGCCCCAGGGGCCTCAGCCCGCAGGCTGGGTGGTGTCCAGGCCCAGGAGAGGCCAGGCTGGGCTGTGGGAGGGTGCAGGAGGAGGTGGCGGGAGACCCCGAGAGGCAACTTCCCAGAGCCCCTCCCAGGTCTGTGCAGCTCAGCGGGGGCTGTGTGGTCTCCCCGGGAGGCGGGTGCCGCGGCCAGGCCAGTTCTCACTCCGAGCTGGGAGAGGCTGGGGAGTCCCCGTCGTCCGCGTCCTGGCCCTGGGGGGAGACGGGCCGGCCCCCCTTCACCCGCTTCCACTTCATCCTCCGGTTCTGGAACCACACCTTGACCTGAGGAGGAAGCCGAGGGCCTGGTCTCTCGGGGCCGGGGTGCCCCAGCCCACACGGACGCCCACGGGACCTGGGCACCCTGGGATGTGGGTGGGAACCATCCCCGGCTGCCTCCCCCAGGCCCCAGCAACCAAGGCCAAAGGGGGACACCTCCGTCTGCCCAGAAGAGGCTCCAGATGTGTCCCTGCACAGACGCATGGTGGGTGAGGGCCCGCTCCACACGCCCCTCCTGGGCTGCCCCGTCCCGCCCCACCCGGGGTCCTGGGCTGCAGCCTCGGAAGAATCCAGAGGGTTTGGTTCTGGGGCGGGGCAGACGGGGTTTGGAGCTGTCTTCTGGTTCACTGTTCAACACTCAGGACAGGCCCCGCCCCTCAGGAAACAGCCACCACCTTTTCGTTATCACTGTTATCATTGCTGTTATACCCTCGCCCACTAGAGCCCGTAGAGGCCCAGGGACATTTGCCTGACGTGCCCAGGAGTCTGTCACACCCGGCACCCCCTGCAGAGCCGATCCGAGGTGCAGATTCCGAGTCTGCTCCCTGGAGCCCCAGAACCTGCGTTCTGGACAGCGCCTGGTGGTTCCAGCGCTGGCAGTGCTGGCCCCAGCCACCCATGGGAATGGCGGGGACCTTTGGAGACCTCGGGTGCCGGGCTCCATCGTGAGGCCTCCCAGGCATTTCCACCCCCTCATGATTCCGGGGGACCCCATGAGACCATGCCTGCCCGGGGGAGGGCACGGCACCTGGCGCTCGGAGAGGTCGAGGTTCACGGCGATCTCGTATCTGCGCAGCCGCGTCAGGTAGTTGTGGTGTGAGAATTCGGCCTCCAGCTCGCGCAGCTGCTCCTTTGTGAAGGCCGTCCTCTCCTTGCGGGCCTTGCCGCCCTCTGCCTTCCCACGGGGCTCCTGCAGGTCTGGGAGAGAGAGTCCCAGCCCAAGGGCACGTGAGCGGGCGAAGTCCCTCCCTCCTGTCCCCTGCCAGAGATGGGACCCAGGACCCTGCCACTGAGACACATCTCCAGCACATTAAAAAATTTTTTTTTAATTTTGGGACAGGGTCTCGCTAAATTGCTAAGTTGTCCAGGCTGGGTTCAAACTTGCCTCAGCTTCCCAAAGTGCTGGGAACACAGTTAGCCTCGCCAATATTTCAGGGGTGCTAAGGAAGAAGCTACTGTGTCCTCTGACAATCGGAAGATTTTTGACTGCCCGGGAAGCTGCTCTCGGCTACTTCCTGAGCTACATCCGCAGCCCTGCAGAACACTGGTAGCCCAGGCCCACAGACCAGACCCTCGGCCTCCCTGGACACAGGAGGACCTCGGCCTGCCTCAGACACTCAGTCAGAGACGGCGGCCCTGCGCCGTTCCTGTGACAGCCAGCCACCCGCGCTCGGGAGCTGGTCGCAGGGCCAGGGCCAGGTCCCCATCCCGCCCACCCTGCGGGGCCACGTTGGGAGAGGCAGGGCGCCCAGGCTGGGGCCTCCCGGGGACCCAACGGGGCTCAGTCCTGGCTGCGAAGGGCCCAGGCATCCCCGTGCCAGCCCTCCACGGTCCAGCCCAGCTTTTCACTGCCCACCGGGGCTTTGAGGGGCGGCCGCATTTCACAGGCGGGGACAGAGCTCAGAGTCAGAGTGGCCGGGCTCACCCAGTGTGGCGAGGCAGGGCCCAGTGCTCTCCAAGGGTGGTGAGGGGCAGGGGATGCCCAGAAGGAGCCCAGCCCACGGCGCAGGGCCCCACAGTGCCCGCCGTTGGCCAGCGATGGCGTCCAGCCTGCGGCTTCTCCGGTCACTGTCCTGGTCCCCCAGGCCCAGAAACCAGGGCTCAGAGTCTGGCGCTGTATGAGAGCTGTGCTCCCCAAGTGTCCCGGGGCCCAGCCCCCAGCAGACACCACGTCCCCCCGCTGGGCCAGAGCCACGCGGCCCCAACGGCCCCCTGCCCTCCTCTCCGTCTGAGCACCCTGCTCGGTTCCCTGTCCTGGGCCGCTCACCCCACGCAGGAAAGGGGCCTGGATTTGTCTCACCACCTCCTATTCCGGGTCCCGGGGTCCCCAGCCCCTCTCTGGCACAGCTGGGCCGTGGACAGCGGGACCCTTTGAGGAAGTCGCTTAGCGCCTCTGGGCTCCAGGATCCTCCCAGGGCTGTTTTGAGGAGACTAGGTGAGGTGATGTGTGTGGAAAATGCTCTTAAAGCGTAAAGGTTAGCAGGCTGTCATCACAGCACTGGGGAGGCTGAGGCGGGAGGATCATTGCAAGTTCAAGGCCAGCCTGGACTACATATGGAAACTTGGTCTCAAAACAAACAAAACAAAACAAACACCCTAAAGGTGCTGCGAGCTCCAGAGAGGCTGTGGGAAGGGCTGGAGTGAAGCAACTGGTGTTTGTTGATTGCTTCTCGCTGTTTTGAAGCTCACGTAGCTTTCAGCCCTTGCCTGTGGCGACAGTGGGCACCGTCACCCTGGGAGTACTGTTGAGGGCTCTTTGCCCTCTCTCCAGGGACGTCACTGCACCTGGCCAGGGGCTGCCCCTTCCCGGACGCAGGGAGGGTTTGCTAACCCAGCCACGGGCGCCCAGCAGCTTCCGACACAGATCCTCTGATGCCAGCCTGAGTGTGCAGCTGGGCGCCAGGCTCCGTGCTCTGCTGGAAGAGGAGGCGGCTCGTGCGTCCCCCTGCAGGGTGTGATGGGTGCTGCTGGCCCCACCCACCCCGGCTAACGTCACAGATGCGGCCGCAGCAGGGAACCCTCACCCCAGGCAGCAGAGCGGGAAGGGGAAGTGAAGCCAAGCCAGTGGCACACAGGTAGAGCAGGAGCCCCCCGTGCCCCCCACGTCACCAGCGCTGGACACTGCGGATGAACATGCGACTCCCGGACACCAACCACTGCGGGCGAGGTGGCCGCATGAGGTCCCCTGGGTCGAGGCCACCGAGGAGGCAGGGGTTGGAAAGGACCCGCCTCGCAGGGGCTGGGGGCCGAGACGGAGCGCAGTGCGAGCTCGGGACAGGACAAGGGCGCCCTGCCCACATCCATCTACCCATCCAGGCCGAGCAGAAGAAGAAATGAAGGACTTCTGAGGGCGAAGGGAAGACAGACATGGCCTCTGTTCCCAGCTGCCCACATCTGTGGGGGAAACACCCAGGATCCCACGGACAGGAGCCGTTGGCAAGAGGGATGCATGCGCCCAGCCACCGGCCCCACAGCAGCATGCAGGACTGCTGAGCCTATGCACAAAGAGCCACAATCCGAGGAAAATAATTCTATCTCAATAGCATAAAAAAAATACTTAAGAGTGAACTTAGCCTGGCGTGGGGGCACACCTGTCACCCCAGCACTCAGGAGGCTGAGGCAGGAGGATCACCTTGAAGCCAACCTGTGCTGCATAGCAAGACCCTGTCTCAAAAAACCCAAAAACTTAAAAACTTCTGCAAAGCAAAGGAAACAATCTACAGAGTGAAAAGGCGACCTATGGAATGGAGGGAAATGATTGGGAACTGGTATCTGATAGGGTCGAATATTCACAATACATAGAGAACTGCAATTTGACAACAACTAAACCCCAAATAAACCAATTAAAAATGGGTGGAGAACCTCAGCTTCTCCAAGGGAGAAACACAAACGTCCAGCAAGGAGGCACGAGGTGCTCAGCGCGACTGCGCCGGGGAAAGTTGGTCGGAACAGCAGCTGTGGGACAGCAGACGCGCGCTGGAAGTCCAGGCCCTTGCGTCTGGGTGGGGGTGTAAAGCAGGCGGCTGGGGGCTCCTTGAAGACCAGGGTCACCACGGGACCCAGGGATCCGCTTCCCGTATGCACCTGAAGCATTCAAAGCCCGGACTCTGCGGCCCAGGATGGTTCCAGCACTGTTTGAGATTTTGAAGCCGCCCATGCGTCCATCAGCGGACGAGCGGATGAAGCAAACGCAGCGTCTGCCCACTGCGGTGCTCCTCAGCTTAGAGAGGAGAAATCCTCGTACGTGACGAAGTCCATACACCCGAGTGCATCATGCTAGATGCAATAAACCAGTCACAGAAAGCTAGACCCTGGGGCTGGGGATTTAGCTCAGCGGCACAGGGCCTGCCTGGCAAGCACAAGGTTGTGAGTTCAATTCCCGGTATCAGAAAAAAAAAAACAAAAAACAACAAAAAAGTAGGACAAAAATCCAGACCCTGCAGGGCTGCGTTGCACGGGACATCCACCCCGTCACACCGCGGGGAGCAGCAGCTGGGGAAGGGGACGGAGACCCCTCCCTGGACATGGGGTTCGGACTCCCACTAGTCGAAACATTTCAGTAGGGGAGAAAATGAGACTGGAAGGGCTGGCTGGGAGTGAGGGTTAGAATGTGCCGGCGCAGCGTGTGTGCGCACGCGTGAGTGTGTGTGTGCACGCCAGGCCAGCCCACGCCCCGGCTTCCGTGCTTGGTGGTGGGTGACGGGGGAGGGGCGGTGGCAGGGCATCAGGGTCAAGGCAGGACCGAGCCCATCGTGTGCGTTTAACCTGGCGGGTTTGGCGTTCAGCGGGGGCGGGGCAGTGGGGACCTGCTCCAGGAGGGAAGTGGGGCCCAGGAACCCCGGCGATGTGCCCTGGGCTGGAGCAGGGCAGGGAGGGCAGAACAAAGACCGCGCAGAGGACATGAGCTGCCGATGACCGCAACCTTCCCTTGAACCCCGCCAGGAATTCACCGCGAAATCCCTCCTTGCCATAAATTACAGCCGATCACAGCAGCAGTGACAGTTTGGGGAAACAGCAGCGGCCTCGCAGCTGTCCTGCCTGTAGGGGTCTCGATGCCGCCCGCCGGCCCTGCCTGCCAGGAAACGGGCGAGCGGGGCTCCCAGGCCCTGGGGGAGCAGGGCCGAGGGCAGCGGCGGCGGAAGAGCCGCCTCTGTCAGCGCCTTCAGCTGTGGGGGCCGCCTGGCCGGCCAGCCCCGCACCCACTGACCGACCTCTCCAGCGGCTCTCCGAGCCCAAGCCCCTCACAGATGCCTGCTGGATTTTAGAGCAAATTGAGTACAAGCTCCCATGTCTTGCGGCCCAGAGGCAGCAGTTTCGGGGTCCCGAGGAGCACCTGTCCCCGTGTCCTGAGGGCCGGCCGGGGACCCCGCTCGTGCTGCTCACAGCACTGTGCATAGCCTGGGCTGTGTGGCCGGCCGGGACCCTGCCAGGCCCTCCGCAGAGACGGGCGCTGGAAGTGCTGCATTGCAGCAGGGGGAGGGTCAAAGTATGCCCCTAAGAAATAATCCACCGGGGGGGGGGGGTGCAGCTCCGGGAGAACCTCACTTTGGTCGCAGCTCCCCGTCCCCAAAGAACCCAGATGAACAAAGTGGGAACTTGAATTGCAGAGAGGACATAGCCCGCGACTCGGGTGGGGCGCCGGGGGCCGGGGGAGCCTGATGCTCCCCACTCGGGGTTCCACCGCGCTGGCTCTCCCTCCGTGAGATTCCAAAGGACGCCGGACGCGGGGACCCGCTGGGCTGACTGTGGGCCGCGAGGAGGGACACCCCTCAGTGCTGGCCGGCTGCTGCTCCTGAGAGCCCCGGGGTCCTCTGGGACAGGGAGTCTCCCTGGAGCTGACCCTGGAGACGGCTGGGGCCCCTGAGCCGGGCGCAGCGCCAGCCACAGCCAGAAGCAGAGGCGGCCCTGGCAGGCGTGGGCGCTCACCGGATGGGGACGCATTCTGCCCGTGCCCAGCAGGCCCTTGGCTTGGCCGGTGCCATCCCGGTGCCCTGGAAACGGCTGGACCGGCAGTGCGATGGGCGTGGACACAGTGGGTGCGGCGAGGGGCAGGGACGCAGAGCTGCCGCCCAGGGACGCCCCTGGGACTTTACCCGCGGGGGATGTAACAGCCTTCCACCGAGCGGCCAGGTGGGACCCCAGGTGGTGTCACCCATGTCACGGGGGTGTGCAAGCATGGGCCCCCGTCAGCTCGGGATGGCTACTGAGCTGGGTCTGTGGGACGTGAGGTCTGGTGTGAAGTCACCTGGGTCTGAGGGACCCCGGGACACAGAGGCCCCGTGCCCAGGGCAAAGGGGATGAGCCGCTGACTGAGTGCAGGCCTTCTCCTGCTGTGCCCCCACTTGGTCTCCAGCGTACCACGCTGAGATACTGACTCCCCCAGGTCCTCACTTTGCGCACCTGGGAGGCCCCAAAGAGCTGACCTCCCGTCTGAGTGCCCCCACTGCTGACAGCCCTCGGCCCGCGCTCCGGCCAGACCCCACCCCACACAGTGTCCCTGGGAACCCTGACCACCGGCAGGCGCCTCTTCCGGGATGGCCGCTGGTGGGCCACAGGAGTGGGGTGTGGGCTCGAGGCCGGGAAAGGTGGGGTGGGGGCCACACAGAGGCAGGCACAGTGCCGCAGGGGACAGCGCAGGAGGGCCAGGACCCCAGGGGACCACAGCAGGCATCCTCCCGGGACCCCAGCCCGAGCCAGGCCTTGCCGGTCCTGGGCCCCTTCCCTGAGGGCTGCTGCCTCCTGGGCCTGCCCAGCCCAGCTCTGCGCTGGGCTCTCCCGGGCAGCTGCCCCCAGAGACTGCTGAGACCCCCAAGTTGCCATCCCCGCCCGAGTGCAGGACCTCCCATGGCCTGGTCACCAGTCAGCTGGCCCATGCCCACAGCCCTGTCCTAGACCCCAAATCCGCTAACCCTGCTGCCCGCTGCTCTGGCCCAGGACCCTGGCTGGGGAACCTGCAGCCCCATCACTGCCCGGGACCCCGAGAGCCGAGCGGAGGCCCTGCTCCCCACGGTGCTGTGATGACCCCATGTGACGTGGCGGTCAGGGCCCAAGCTGACCGGGAAGCAGCTTCCCGCCCCAGGGCACAGCACCAGGGACCCCAAGCCACGTACCTGCTGCCGCCTTCCTCCGCCTGGACAGCTTCCTCTCTGCCTCGCCGGCCGTGCTCCCCTGCACCCCGTAGTCCTCGCCAGGGCCTCCCACGGGCTCCACCAGGCCAGGGCTGCTGGCCACCGGCTCTCCGGAGCCCCCCGCTGGGCCAGGGTGCGGCCTCTGCCGGGACGCAGGGACGGGGAGGTGCCAGTCGGGCGGCTGCGGGAAGGCGGGGTGCTGCTCCGTGAAAACGCGCTGCTCTCGGGGGAGGCTGTGCGGGGTGGCGGCCAGGCAGGAGGCCGAGAAGTCAGGGTACGACGCAGCTGAGGCCGGGAAGTCTGGCTTCTGGTGGAAGGAGAAGGGGGCGGGTGGGCAGTGGGGCGGCCCCGAGGCCTCACTGCCCTCGGCCAGGGGGTTCCGCAGGCAGTCCCAGAGCGGGGCTGGGCCTGGGGGGCTCCTCAGGCAGGGGCTGCCCGCGGGGTCCATGGGCTCCGCCGCCCACCACGGCTCCCTTTGCACTTCCTAGGGTCACAGGTTAAAGAATGCAAGAACAAAAGCCAAACTGGAAGGGAAAACGCTGGACACCAAATATTCACCCCAGGAGCCAAAACCCAAACCAAATGACAGCCTGCCCTTCAGGCCACACACGTGAGTGTGCGCACAGGTCCCGCGGGCCTCCCGCGCCCCGACAGGCTGGCCTGCTACTGGGGCGCCCGGGGCGCCGCATATGCCCGCTGGCCGACCAGGCGCAGGGAGCAGGACAGAGCCCGGAGCTGTGGCCGCGGGCCCAGGGCGGAGACACTTAAATCCTGCGGTGGGGAGAGAGTGACAAATTTCTGTGGTGAAACGTGAGCGAGGGGAGGGAGGGGCGGCCGCCGGGTCCCCTCCAACCAGAACCGCGGCGGGGGCTCCTGCCAGAAACCTTATCCGCCGGGTAATGGGATTTGCAGCTGGGGCTTTTAAAGGAACCTTGTCTGTATTTGTTTTAAGGAGTGAGAAAGCCCATGCTGTAACACACACACACACACACACACACACACACGCACACACACACACGCACACCCACGCGCACACACATGCGCTGTTTCGGTGTGACTCTTCCAACACCATAAAGTTATTTTTATTGCACTGTTAACAAAATTCTCCAAGTCTTGGATTTGGAAAAAGCCCAGAGTCAGACCCAGAATCCATCAGAAGCCAAACTCCCAGGAGGGGCGGGCCGTGAGTGCCGGAGACGGCTCCACAGCGCGGGGATTTCAAGTTCCTTCTGGGGCGGGCTGGGGAGGAAGGTGATTAGAAGAAATCCTTTCGCAGGTCCCGGCAGCCCGCTCCAGTCTGGAGTATAGGGAAAGACTCTCCGGAAAACACTGCTTCCTCTCCGCCTGAGTGACTGTCGCCCCGGTCAGGGCCTGTTATTTTATAAGCGTTTTGAGACAGGGTCTCCTGTGTAGCTCAGCCTAGCCTTGAACTTGCAGTGACTCTCCTGCCTCAGCCTCCCAAGTACTAGGATGACAGGTGTGCGGCCCCATGCCTGGTTCTGGTCAGTAACTCATAAGAAAGCCCCCTGACTCTTCTTTGTGTTCTTTAACCTCCAGCTTGTCAGGGAGGCCCCAAGTTTTTCTGGGGCTCACCCCTCGGCGCCCTGTCCCCAGCCCATCCTTTGTCTCCATCTTGGCCCCCAGAGGTCCAGGCGCCCAGGGAGTGGGGACAGACATAGGGGGCCTCCGTCTCCCGGGGTTTTCCCCAGAGCGCATCCTCAGGGCACGGTCACATGGGTCTCATGGCCAAGTGCCACCTCCGCGTCCAGCAGCCATGGCCACTGCCTCCTGGCTGTCCCTGGGGTCGCTGCCGCTTCCTGAGGATGAGGTCCAGTCCCACAGTGCCCGACTCCTCTCCACCCTGTGTTTTCCACTGCCAGGGCAGCAGGATGGGGGCCTAACCGTGGGGTCTTGCGGACCTGTCCCAAAGGCCCCAGGGCCCCAGGAGGGGCTGCAGCGGGGCAAGGGGAGCGAGGGGCAGCTGGGGAGATTCGGGGCGGCCTGCTGGTCTGGCCAGAGCCTGACATCAGCTCCCTGGAGCGGCCAGTCAGGGCCCAGCTCCTTGGGCCCCTGCATTTGGCTCTGGGCCCCAGCCCGGGTCATTGCAGGGTGGCCCGGAGGTCAGGAGGTCGTGGGCATGGTGGGGTGCCCTGTGCTCCGAGCCCACCCCGGCACCCCGGCGCGCTAGCAGCTGCCGACGTCTGTCAGCCCAGGGCGGCACCTGGGACCCTGTGCTCCATCTCCCTGACAGCCCCCTCCTGAGCCTGGGAAAACAACCCGCCCACAGCGGCCCATTTGTCAGGGACACCCGGCACCTGCCTCTTTAACCTCTCAGCGGCCTCGGGTCCCAGGAGCCTGCTCGGGACAGAGCCTGTGCCAAGAAGCAGGGAGGCCTGAGGCCGCGCCGACGTGGGGGTGCGGGTGGGGCTCCCAGGGCACTCCCGGGCCACCCAGGAACCCTCGGGATTCTGTTGTCTGTCGTGCGTGAGCAGCACGTCTCTCCTTGGCCTGGCCGTGGAGGACCGCTTCTGTGCCCGCTGTCCCTGGAGGGAGTGCAGGGTCGGTGCGCGGCGGCCTGGGGGAGACTCCCCAGTCAGGGCCTTGGTGGCCAAATGAGGTGCCAGTGCCCGCCTGGTGCGGCTGCTCCAGGGCAAACGCGGAGGCCAGAGGCTAGCTGAGGACCGCGACTTCCCCTCCCTGAGCCCCGCTGGTCCCCGCTGGTCCCGGCTGCACTGGAGCCGCCCCGCCTGCCAGGCTCACTCTCCCGTGGGCACACAACTGGGCTTAAAATTACAGTCCCAGGAATGGACAGCGAGGGCCCGGGTTCCAGTCCTGCCGCTGACCCATGGGTCTGCTCTGGCCATTCGCGTCCCCACCTGGGTGTCAGTTTGTTCACCCGAGAGATAGGGGCAAACCCCCCAGAAGCTGTGGGGAGAAGCCAGGTGACCCCAGTGGTGATGCCATGACCCCTGAGATGGCGGCACCTGGACGGCCCCAGAGGGGCCCTGGGAAATGTTTCTGGGCCTTGGGTAGTACCCTCGAGGAGAAACCTTAGTCAGACAGGACCCTAGGCCTGGGCAAGACCCTGCGGGGTAGGGCGGGGGACAGAGGGCTCCGGGACCCTGCAACAACAGTGGCCGGAGCAAGGCGCCTGCTCCTCCTAGGCCATAAGGCCCAGGGTCACCGCACCTCTGCTCAGCCCCAAGCTCTCCGGCAGAGGGGGTCAGAGGACCCAGTTCCTGTCCCACACCAGAGCCACCTTAGGTCCCCGTGCATGTGCCCAGCTCCCCCTGTGGAGGGGCTCTGCCTCCCGGGCATCAGCGTCAGCATCAGCACTGGGGGGGCAGGATGGGAGGAAGGACAGAGGGGCTCTTCCCGCCTCCCGCTGCACCAAGGGTGGCTCTGAAATCTTCAGCAGCTGCCCTTGGGGCTCCGACCAGCACCTTCCCCTTGGCTGAGCGGAGCTGCAGGGGATGCTGGGAGTCGGGTGGCGCCCCCCTCAGGCCCCCAGATGTTATCTGAAGCTCACATCTAGCATGCGTTATCTTTCTCTGGTCAAGCTGGCTTGGGGCTGGGTGGTGGGGAAGCCTCCAGGTGACCGGACAGGAAGCGCCGGATGGGGGCGCCGCATCCGAGCCACGAAGCCGGGCCTGGCCCCCAGCAGCAGCCGCGCTGCGTTCAATGGAAACCGCGTTTAGGGAGCTGGACGAGGCAGATTTATGGAGTGTGGGTACTGCTCCATTTTCCTCTCTGTTTACCCAGCAGTATTTTTAAAAACCCAGAGCGGCAGTGTGGCGACCGTGCCTGACTTACAGCCGGGCTCAGAGTGTCCTGGGTGACCCCTGCAGCTCCCTGTGGGTCTGGGTGGGGTCCCTGTCCCTGGTGTCATCGTTGTCATCATGGATATCAGCTCCCTCCCGGGGCAGGGGGCGTGCGTGCCGCAGAGCCAGAAGCCTTCGGGGCCCTATGGTCTGGGGCTGAGAACCCACAAGGGTCCCAGCAGGTGAGGGTCGGGTCCACGGCTCTGGGACAGGGACTAAGGACACTGTGGCCACATGCGATCAGATCTTTTGTTTCCCTTTTCTTTTCTGCTTGTTTGTTTTTGTTTTTGTTTTTCTTCTGGTACCAGGAATTGAACTCACGACCTTGCGCTTGCCAGGCAGGCGCTGTGCCGCTGAGCTAAATCCCCAGCCCCCAGATCTTGTGTCTCAACAGAAGCCGCCACTGTCGTCTTAGCTGGGAATCTGTCAAGGTACCCGTGTGGATAATGAATTGAAAACGCTCGATTAATGCAAAGCGGCCAGCGTGGTCTCTTGTGACCGCTGACCCACACTCTCAGACGACGGCCATCACCCCGGCCCCCGCTCACAGAGGCGGAGGTGAGGCCGGGGCGGAGGTGGTGTGGGGCCTGGCACGCGCGCAGGGCCCTCGGCCAGGCGGCTCTCCCAGCGTCCTTTCGCTGTGTTTGAGTGGATGTGGGTTCCTTGCACTCATTCGCCAGCTGTGCATTCTGGCAGTGACCTGAGCGCCAGGTGGGCTTTGGTGCTTTTCGTGTCTCTGGAGAGGCCGGGCCGGCCCAGACCTTGTCACTGCTCTACGGAGGCCGTCGGAAGGTACTGTCCAGGCCGGGCCTGAGCGGGTACCAAGCAGCTCACAGGGGGGCCGGGGTGGCCCTGGGCCTTACTGAGTGGAAAACGTGCCCGCCTGGCGTCAGCGCTCCGAGCAGGTGTGTCCGAGAGCGGCGCTCGGGCCGGCCTGGCCTCTGTCTCCGGGTCTGAAGGCCCCGCTGTCCTTGGTCCCTGGCCGTCCAGGCGCAGCGTCTCTCTGCGGCCCTTGCTGCTCTCTCTGGTCTTTGTCCACCTCCGCTGCGATGTGGGGAAGCAGGCACCCGGGGGGCGGGGATGCCTAACCTGCCTCTGGTCTGTGGCGCCTGCCCCGGGGCAGGGGAGCAGCCAGCGCCAGGGCCTCGTCCGAGGTCGCACAGCAGCGGGGCTGAGGCCCGGGCTTGCTGGCTCCGGGCTCTTTCTTGGCCCCCACAGTGGCCTGTGATGACCCAGGTGATTACCCAAAAGCAGACAGGGGGAGAGGGCTTGGGCTGCACCCCCACCTCGGGGTGGGAGACTCGTGTGCACACACTGGCACAGCCAGAGGCTTCGCCCACGGGCTCCCGACAGCGCACGCCGCCCCGTGCACACCTGACACACACACTCTGCACACACGGGGCTCCTTTCTCCACCCGGTTCAGGGGTGAGTGCTGAGACCCGTGTCCCCTGCACACGCGTGTGCACACACTCCACACCCACCCCAGCGCCGGGAGCTTCTGGGGCACACGCTAGCGGTCAGCCCACAGCCCAGCCGCGTCCTGCAGCCAAGGGCTCCTCTCCCTCCTCCACCTCCAAAGCCTCTGGCTTCCTGGGCACGGGGGTGCTGCAGCGGAGCCCCGGCGTGGTCCCCTTTTGGGAAAGGGAGACAGCGGGGATCGCGGGGGAGAGGAAGGAGCGGGAGGAAGGGGAGAGGCTCAGCCTCCCTGGCGCGGCGGTCTTTGCACACGCGGCGGATCTGTAGCGCCATCTGGTGATGGCCTTTAGAACTGCAGCATGCCTGCCGGCCGCCGGAGCCGGGAGCGGCCCGCTGCCCCTGGAGGCCGAGGAGGGTGGGGCGGGGGCTGGCGGAGCCTCTGCGGGCTCCGGCTCAAGGCTGCACCTGCAGGAAGCCGGCCC